GATAGGCAAATGTTATTATAATTATATCTATAATGATTGAAATTATTTCTTAATCTTTAGTTTACAACCTTCGGCTGGTTTTGGTGAATTCTTTTCAAAGTCAAATGACAGGCATGTGGGGTCTGGTAATCTCATATAGGTGAAATTCTTCTTGAGGGAAAATTTGGGTGATAGAAATGTAAAAAATCAAACTAGATGTTAGACATATTAAAAAATAATTGGGTGATACATGTGTAACTGGCTCACATACAAACTAATTTGGTATGTATGTGAAAGCCCCAAGTCTAGTTTTGTAAAGAGTTTGACCTAAATGAGAAGATATTATGTCCAGTTGTAACTAATCGTCAGGCACCAGCTTGATATGGTCGGGCCACCAAGCTTTTATGCCTCATTGTTGTCTTACAGTTATGCGGATGACGAATGCAATATTTTTTATATGCGGATGAATGACGCAATATTTTCAAATTTTGTGGCCTAAAGGGTCAAAGAGGTTCCTTTTGGAGAGAACTTGAAATTCTTGTCTTCCTCAAACCGAGGTTTGCTAGGTTTCTTTTGTCTTCATTGAGAGCAATTGTGTGGGCTTGAAGGCGCTGTGGGCTTGAAGGCGCGGGACTGGAGAGAGAGTAGATCGGAAAGTCACTGAGGTTATATAACCCACTTGAGTAGTCGACCGGAATGTTCCGGCTTGGTGAGGACTTACTTGAATGGCCAATTTGTGATAGCTTATAGGGGGTGTACCTGGAAATGCGGTCAAATTCTTCGGGCTAAAATGACCAAGGCTAAGGTCGATTTTTACATTATAGGGTATCGGAGTTCGGCACCCTTGAGTACCCAGATAGTGTAGTACACAGAGTGTTATTTTTTGAGTTCTTCTCTGACCAAGGCCGAGGTGACGGCTTCGGGGCCGACTCCAAGGTAAAGGTAAAGTCTTTCCTTTGGCTTCGGGCTCTGAAGGAATAGAGGGGAAGCGAGGAACTGCTTGAGGTCCTTGAAGGCCTCCTCGCATTCAAGTGTCCATTCGAAACATTTGACTTTCTTGAGTACTTTGAAGAATGGAGCGCATTTGTCACCTGTTTGGAGATGAACCTGCTCAAACCCATGAGGTGTTAGAAAGGTTTACTTAGAGATGAACCTGCTTGAGGTCCTTGAAGGCTTTGAAAATACATTTCAGTGGATCTAATTTCATGTTAAATTTTTTAGGAGTTAGAAAGGTTTACTTTAGATCTTCAATGTGTTGTTCAGCCGACCAACTCTTAACTAGCGCAACCTCAACATACACATCAATGTTTCTTTCCTTCTGATTTGCAAAAATTATATCCATGAGGTGTTGGTAAGTCTCCCCCGCATTCTTAAGCCTAAAGAGCATTACATTATAACAAAAGACTCCCTCACAGGCAATAAGAGAGGTTTTTTTTTCCGTCAACGGGATGCATTTTAATCTGGTGATACTAAAAGAACACGTCGAGGAAACTGATGACCGAATGACCGACCGCTGAATCTACCAGTGTGTCAATCCTTAGTAGCGGGTATGCATCTTTTAGGCAGGCTGAGTTCCATTTGATGAACTCCATGCACATGCTCCATTTTTCGTTAGCCTTCTGCACCATCACCACGTTGGAAATCCAAGTAGGGTACTGCACCTCTCGAATGTATCTTGTCGCTTTAATCTTTCGCACCTCCTCTCGGATGGGTCCCGCAAACGTCATGGTCGAGCTTCTAATCTATAGCTTCGCGACCAAGTTGATGGGTTGACATCCAATCTATGGCAGGCAGTGTCAATCGACACACCTGCATCTCTGTGATCGTCCATGCGAAGACATCCTGATTTTCTTGGAGGGTCTGAACCAGCAACTCCCTATGTCCTGCATCAAAAGCTTCACCTATCAAAAAATATTTACCTAGCTCCCCCTCGACAGTTGGGACTTCACTGGTGGTCTCGAGGCCACCTTCCCTTGCATTCTTAATGTCTAGAGAATCATGTTCCACATTGCTTATGGCTCACAGGTAACAAACTCGGGATTGTTCCAAGTCACCCTAATTGTGATGATTTCTTCGTCTCTAAAAAAGTTTATAGCGACATGATCGGTAGAGACCACCTCTTTGAATTCATTAAGAAGCGGTCGGTCAAATATAACGTTGTATTTTGGGAAGGGGGATCCACTACGAGGAAATCCTTCGTTAGCATAAACTTTTTTCCCCCAACTTACCGGGAGTCCAATTGCTCCTAGCGCTTCTTTCCTTTCGCCTGAGAATCCATACATTGGCTTAACCGGTGAAGTCATCAGATCGGCAGTGAGAGTCAGCTTGTCAAATACTTGCTTGAATAGTACATTCACAGAACTCTCAATATCAATGAGGACGCTTCCAACCTGATAATTATTGATTATTGTTGTTACTACAATAGCATCATTATATGGATTCCCCATTGAGGGTAGATCTTCATCGGTAAAGTAAATAGGCGGGTGACTCTTGGGTTTCGAGGCAAAGGCTATGACTCAGAGTTCCCTTGTTTGTTGTCTCTTCTGATTTACCATGTTAGGTGGTTCGCTTCCTCCGAAGATTGTGGGCATGTACCCGACAACGTGAATGGTGTTGGTGCTAATGGGACCATCGGTCGATCCACCCATGAGAGTCGAAGCTCCAGAGGCGACAAATTCTTTTAGCTTCCCCTCCTTTATCAACTTTTCAATTAGCCTCCACAAGTATCTCATTCCTCCGTCTCATGTCTGTGATCTCTGTGATATTTGAAATACTTCCTGCTATCTTGAAGAAAGGCATTGACCCTCATCGGGGTTGCCATTCTGAAGAACTCCTTATCCTTAATGGCGTCCACTATTTCTGCCATGTATAACCTCAGTGAGGTTTCACGGTGTATTTTGTGGTTGTAACGAGGTTGCTTGTGATAATGGGACGATCGGTGGTGTTGGGTCTTTGCATGTCTCCTCTGATCTTCACGATGATGGGTTGAGTGGTTGTTGGGGTGGATTTCATAGTGTGGGTGGATGATCGGTCGCTCATTCTGTCTTGGTTGCCTCCTGTTGTCCTGTGGGGGCCTCTTTTGGTGTCTCCGTTCGGTGAGTTTGGGGGCATTCTCATAGACGACCACGTTCTTATTGATCATTTCCAACAACTCAGCCAAGCTCCGTGGCTCTACAAGGTCAAGGTCGAGGTCGAAGCGGAACCTCCCGACCTCACCTCTTGTGTCAGTGTGGTCTGGGCCATGTCAGGTTTCAAGTCTTTCACATCCAAAGTTTCCCTTTGGAAACGTACGATAAACAATCGTAAGCTTTCATTAGCTCTTTGTTTCAGTAGCCATGGGGATCAATCGCTCTTTTTGGGCCTCAGAGCACTGGCAAACTGAGATAGAAAAAGTTTCTTAAATTCCACAAATAAGCGATACTCTTGTTGGTAGCCCGTCCGACTACACTTGAAAGCATCGGAGAATTTTAGCAGACATATAGAAGATTCGAATGATGTGAGGTGGTCATTAGGATCTGACCGCCCTTTGTATGGCTATAGTATGAAAAATTTTGAACTTCTCCAAGGGTTTCGCTACCGACACTTGTTGCAAGAAGGCATTCCCTAGCTGCTATAGCGCCTCAGTTCACACTGGTCGATTCCTTTCCTCCTAGGGGGCAGTTTCAGTGTATCTTGATACAACACATCATCAGGCTTCTCCTCTAGGCGAGCTATTCTTCTTTCATTGTTTGGTGGTGGTTCCTCATGAGGGGGATTGAGTGCCCCTTGTCAGACTAGCTCTTCTCCTAGAAATGGCGTCGTCACTGGGAAAACGACCGCTCTGAATACTTCTATGAATTGTCCCGACATCTGGTTTGTGATTTGAATTCTCAAATCTTGCAAGCCTTGACGAATGAATTCTTCCACAAACTCTCTAGTACACGATGTTTCTGTTGCATTCCTCTGACTGGATTCTCCCCATTGATGTTGTTGGGCTCCTCTTCTTGTTGACGAGATGTTTCCACGCTCACCACACCTTAAAAGATGTTAAATCCAAAAATGTCTAGGAAGCAACCCAATGTATAGAATGTTATGCAGAGAAAATCAAGAGAGAATTTAAGAATCACAGGAATCGGTCACCTTTATTCATGGTATAAGCCCTCTATTTACAGAAATAGGTCTCAATCTTACAAATTTTAGGTAGTCTCTTATCATTAGGTTTCAAAGGGGCCTTTTGATAATTACAAAAATGTTGTCTGATTGATGTCGGTTGGTGAGGGGTTCGTCGGCCAGTCGTCTCGCATTTAACTCCCTCGATACTTGATTTGGGTTTAAATTATCTGATGACTGATTCAAAGAAGGTCGTTCTGAAGGGTGAGGCCATTTGACATGCTTGTTGTCATCTTACGATTTCCTCATCCGCTTAAGATCCATCGGTTATTTGGTAATTGTTCGTCATCAATTGCTAAATAAGACAGGTTATGCGATCAATCGTCCCCTTCCTTCTAAGCCGTCTGATTGTATTGGGATTCATACAGACACATTTTTTTGTGTACAATTAGCAATGAACTAGTGAACTGAGTCAACTCGAACGAAACCAACCAAACACGAATTTTAGAGAACACAAACCACTCAATCGAAATCATCAACTCAGGCATGTTCACACTAAAATATAAAGCTCAAAGGAACCAACTTCAAGCAATGAAGTTTAAGTAGTTAAGGTCACAAAGAATCAGGCAAAAACAGGTTTTAATTTGAAGCACTAATATTTACTAAAACAAGAAAAAAGAAATTTACATACATACAACACAGTTCTTATAGATTTTACATATACAACGCCTAAACTTTGCTTTTTATATTTATACCACCACCACTTCCATATCACAACGACTATTTTAACCTTCAGAAAATGCATAAATAAGGAGGCCTATATATGCAAAATTGAAGTTTAGGTGTTGGACATGTATGTAAATACATAAGAACTGAGAGGAATGTATGTAAACTTCCAAGAATAAAAAAATAAATTGAAAATTCAATTCATCTTCCATTCCCACTTTTAGAATCCATCAGGCACAGGCAGACAGTCCATAGAAAAGAATGAAATTCCTAAATGATAAACAGTTTACAAATCATACAAAAAAATAAAAGAAAAAGAAACAACAAACATGATATTGCAGGATGAAAAAAAAAAGAAAAAGCTTACTTTTCAACAGATAAGCTCCTCTTATGTTTCTGAAGCTTTGCATTGAGCATCTCAATCTTCTCACTTGTGCTCCTCTGATGCCCACTGGCTGAGCCCTCCTTTGCACTGCACATCTGCAACTTGATCCTGAAGCCAAACCTCTTTGGAACAACAGCCCAACCCCCACTCCTCTCCTGTCCCAATCTCGCAATCTCCTTCCTAATCGTCGAGCACTCTTTCTCGAGCTCGGAAACCCGCGTCCTCATGTGATCCATCCCGACCTTCAGGACCTGGTTATCCCTCACAGAAGTAGCCCAACCAGCACCCTCGGTGAGACCAACATGGCCGCTCCTCAGCGCTCGAGAACCGCCGTCGAGGTTGTCTGAGACGAGAAAGCATCCGGCAATCGAGGTTCTGAGTTGGAGTTGCTCGAAGAAGAGGACTTGGACGACGACTCGCAGCGGAAGCCTCTCGTTCTGCGCTGCATGAGTGCAGGCTTCGAGGGAGAGCTTCTGGCAGTCCAATAACCGGCAAAGCTGTTCTCTTTCAGATTCTGAAATCCATGGGTGTGCCTGAATACCAACATATCAAGTTATTTGCAGTAGGAGGTTTTTGCAAGATAGCCACCCAAAATGTTGAATATTATATTTTAACCGCTCACAACTTTAAATATAACATTTTAACTGCCCAAAACTTTCACTCAAAGCCCTTATTAGTGGGTAAAGGAGGGTGATTGTTATGAAAAAAGGTGGTTAAAATAATATATTTAAAGTTTGGGTGGTTAAATTATTCTAGTTACTAAGAAAAGTGTCCAAATAATCCTCTGATTCTTTATAGGAGATCATTTCGGTCCCAGAGTTTATAAAAGTATTAATTTAATCCTCATCCTATTTTAATATGAGTTGAAATAGTTACTATGGATGACTATTTTCAAGCTCAATTTAAAGAATATGGGAACTAATTTGACACTTTTACAGACAAAGACTAAAATGACAAAATGTAAACAGCCAGATACTATTTTGGCACTTTACTCGTAGTTTCTCAAAACAACAATAGTAACATAGCTTTCTAAATCTGCAAACACATTTTTAAAATCTCTTAAATGTGATCATTTAATTTATAAGAGAAATTTACATACATAGAACACAATTCTTATGTACTTGCATATCTCACGCCTCTTTCATATTTGCATACACCTGCACTTTTGTGCTTTAACTCTATGCATGAAAAAATGTGCTTCACTTTTGAAAAGTGGTAATAACACTATGTTTGATTCATGTGATATTAAAGATTTGAGTGCTATACGCTTAAATATGAAAGTTTAGGTGTGAGATACGTGAATACATAATAAATGTGTGCTATGCATGTAAATGCTCTTTAATTAAAATTTCACACAAAAAAAACCCATAAGATATGTTCTCCATCTACAATCAACCAAAATCTCAAAAATATAGATAAAAATGGCATTTACATACATACCACACAATTATTAAGTATTTGCATATCTAGCACTTAAACTTCAATTTTTACATTAATGCTACCTTACCTATGCATGAAAATGTGTATATCACTTCTTAAAAGTTAAAATGACGATATTTTTCGATGTAATATATAAGTATAAAAATCAAACTTTAGGTGTTGGATGTGTAAATACATAAGAATTGGGTGGTATGTATGTAAATGCAAATATAAAAAAATGCTTATAACCTTCAAGTATATATCAATCGCACGGTAAAGCCCATCATCCAACGGGCGGGCATATTCAGGCACAGCAGCTGCAAGAGACTGAAACTTAGGCAACTTCAAGTTCACATCTGGTGCAATCTCAGCTAAAAATCCATCCATAAGCTTCGCCACAGTGGTGATCGGCATCAGCGAAAGAGAACGAATCAACTGTTCGTCATCTACGAGACCAGGAGAGGCATTACCCACCTCCTGCTCCATAGCCAGGAAGTGCTCCAGAATTCTCTGGACGCAATCGACATCGTAAAGCGTTTCCATGGAGTACGAAAATGTTGGCATCAGCAAATCTTCCAGAGCAGCTTCGTCCAGTTGCAATCCTATCCTACGTTCCAAGTTCGACACGCACGTAGAACTCGCTTTCAGAATCAAGGCGAAGCGGAGAAGATTACACAGAAATTTAGTAGATGTTATGGACTTCTGAAAAGGCAACAATCTGTCGATTTCTTCAAGAAGATTTCGTTGTTTCTCCTCGGAGAGAGTGGAATCCGAAGTCGCGTTTGCTGTGTTCTGTCTCTTGTTTAATCCATGGATATGCCTTTTAGCATAGGAGGTGAGGGAGCCCGCAATAATGTCTGGTTTTATACCTCTGGATTCCATTACTGCTATCAACCTCTTATATGTCAAAAAGCTCAGAGAAGCAACATCTTCATACCACCAATCTGAGCTGCAACTTCTCGGCCTTGCTCCGGTACTAATTCCGTTCCAGAGAACACTTCCGCCGGGACTCTGCATCGATCCGTGCTCCATCATTGGCCAGCCGAATAGATTTGGATCTTTACAAGCCTTAACAGCTAATGATTCGATGCATCGTTTTGTGATGTTAAGATCTTCGGCGTGAGGAAGAAGATCGTCGCAGGTTTGGAGGGCTTTCAATGAATCTTTCCAGCTACGAAGAACGACTTGATTTATGAATGTTTCAGTCTGTGAGATTAAGTTCCCTTCGGAGACTTCTTCAGTCATTTGGAGATATTCGGCGGCGCAGCGGAGGTATACGGCATTCGAAGCAGTAAATTCTAGCTTAACTCCATAGCAGAACTTGGCGATGAGTTCGAATGATTTTGAATCACCAGGAACATCATGAAGCTTGATTAAACAGCCCCCTTCTTCTTCTTCTTCCTTGGATTTTTCGGTTATCAGCTTTTCAAGAAGAATGCTCTTGGATAACAGAGGGAACTGAAACAGATAAATAAACAATGTTTAGTCTGGGAACTGGCTGGAACCACATAAAGAAGAATCCAAATCAGAATTCATTTGGTTTGGGGCATTTACATACAGACAACCCAATTTCTATGTATTTACATATCTAACATCAAAACTTTAATTTTTGTACTTTAATACCGCCAAAATTTTTCATATCACATACAAATACCACAATTTTAACTTAAAAAAAAAAAAAAGTGAAATACACCTTTTTCATT